CCGTCCATCACCCACCACCCGTCCATCATCTGGAGCCCGTCTTCCTCCCTCCCGCCCACGCCCCAGCCCAGGGAGTCCGTGGGAGCCTGACACTCATGTCCTCCTCCCAGCTGAGGTCCGAACACCATCCTCCCAGCTGAGCTGACGTCTGACCGCTGGGGCAGCTATTGTCAGGGCAGGAGTGGGCTCTGTCCTGAGCCGGGGGGCAGGTTCTCTGCCTAGACGGCACTGCTCCCCTGGACAGGATTCCAGGGGAGCAGGACTCGCCTTTTAAGCTGGGGGGGCAGGGGAACCTTGGCGGGCACACCCCAGTCCAGGGCTCCAGTGGTGTTGGGCCCCTCGGGGTGCAGGCATTGGCTCTGAGCAGCTGGGACAGGCAACTAGGGCTCCTGGGCCTGACCAGTACCCTTGAGTGGCTGGCGCCTGGGGTCTCCGCAAGGCTGCTGCGATGCAAACGTGGGGTCGAGGATGCATGAGACATCCAGGAAGGGGCCTAGACCCAGGAACCTGCAGGATGTGGGCAATGTCCTGTCTGCAGGTTTGTCTGCCCCTCGCCCTCTGCCCTGCAGCTGGAAACACCCACCTGGCAATGCGTGGATGTGGGCGGGGCTGTGGAAGCACAGTGCCCTCGGGGTCAGCTGGCTGGGCCACAGGCACCACGTGAGGGCAGACAGGGAGTGTGTGCTCAGGAGGCTGTGACGGGGGCCAAGCGTCCATGCTCCACTGTGGCACCGTGGGGCCCGGCGGTGCGGAGAGGCAGGGGAGTGAGGACTCCAGCCAAGGATTCTGGCCCTCCAGGCTGAGGGCAGGGCTCTGCCCTGGTGCATGGCGGTGGGGTGGGGGTGGGGCGGGACCGCACAAACGCTTGCCCTTCCTCCAGAGAGGTCCATTCTTCTATATTCTTAACCAATGGGCTAAGCTTCTATCATAAGAAGCGAGAACAAAGATAGTAAATTAAACAGGAGAGAGATAAAATGTAAGAGGTAAGAGCAGAAGTCAATGAAAAAGAAAACACACACTGTAGAGAAAAATCAATGAACCCAAAAGCTGGTTCTGGGGGAAAAAAATAGCCATAAGCTCGATAAACCCTTAGCTAGCCTGACCAGGGAAAAACGAGAAAGCACAAATTACCAACATCAGGAAAGAAAAAGGGGCATTTCACTATAGAGTCAACAGCTATCAGAAGGTAAGGGGACAGTACCAACCACTTTATGCCAATTGTTTTGACAACTTAGAGGAAAGCCTTTCAAAAACATCTTTAAAAAAGATACAAGAATGGGAAAACCTAAACAACCTCATATCTATTTTTAAAAACTGAGTCCTTAATCAAAAACCTCAGCACAAGGAAAATTCCAGGCCTAGATGGCTTTGCACATGTACCCACCACACACTGGAGTCAGAAACAGGGCCCACGCTGCCCAAATGGTGGCAGAAAGCAGAGAAGGGGACAGCTACCTTGCTTTAGGACACGACGGACATGCTGTGACAGGAAAACCACAGGCCAGCTTCTCCCACAAGGACACAAACAGCAGCACATCTGATCCCGTCACACAGAAAAGGGACACGACATCATGACCCAAGGGGACCGACATGGGACTGCCAGGTCACTTTATGCTTTAGCATCGAAAATCCATGAGTCATCAGAGTAACTCCGTTAAGGAGCAAACCTTCAGTCATCTCAACAGATGCACACAAAGCACTTAACCTATGGAAGCATCCAGAAAAGCCCCTCGGCCAACATTACACCCAGCTGTGAACACATGAACTTGACTCCACAGAGACTGGAGTCCAGTAAGGATGGCGAGTTCGGCCACTGCAGACAGAGCGGTGAGGTAAACGGATTGGCGAGGAGGAGGTGGCTGTCATATCGACAGGTGACACGAGTAAGGATGTAGAATATGTGAAATGAGGGGACAGGACATAACGTCATTATACGAAACAATTAAAAAATGAAATAAAGGGGCCGGCTGTGTGGGGCATTGGTTAGGAGTTGACTTGGGATGCCAGCTCTGAGCAGCAGGGCCCCAGTTAGAATTCCACATGTGGGCCAGTGACGCTGCGCCCTCTACAGCTAAGATGGTGAACAGCAGCTCGACCTGGAGCTGGGCTGCCGTGAGTCACCGGTGACAGCAAAGGCTGCAGTGGGCTGCCGTGAGCTACCGTGAGTGGCCGTCCATGGCCAGCAAGTGACTGCCTCACCCGGGAAGAGCGCAACGGTAATACCAACATGGGCCAGTGAAGCGACGTCCTCCACAACTAGACTGAAGAACAAAAGCACAGCAACTTGTCTGTTCCCCTCCCCCAATTCCCTAATAAAATCTTTAAAAAAAAATGAAAAAAAAAAACATACCATTCACAACAGCATAAGATAGCTGATACCTAGGAGTACATCCAATGAAAACACACAAGGCCCTGTGCCAGAAATGGTGCCTCGCCCAGAGAATGAAGACAAGCTCGGTGAGTGGGTCAGGGGAGTGGGTTGTGAAGTCACGTCTCCCTCTGACCGGTGCAGTCAAGGCAATCCTATCAAATTCTAGTCGGCTTTTCTGCAAGAATCCAGAAGCTGACTCTAAAACGTGATGTGAAAATGCACAGCACCCTTACAGCCCTTAATAAGCCTTGACCGCAGGGTTTACTGTGAAGCCCCTGGAATCCGGGCAGCCTTGGCACAAGGACAAACGTGACTGAACAGGGCAGTCTAGAAACATCCACATGCTTGATTTTTCAAAGACACCAAACCCAATCAACACAGGGAAAAAGTCTATATGACACACGTCGCCGGAACATAAGGACAAAAATGAACCTTGACTCCAACCAGAAATGGAAATCAAGCGTCTGTGAAGAAGCGACAGGTGGTGTGCGGGGACACGGATGCATCAGCAGCTGGGTGGAGTCAGAGGCTGGGTCAGGCTGCTCGCGTCTCACTGTCACCTCGCATGGCGGGAGGGTGGCAGAAGGCGCTAATCCCCGTAATGGGGGCGCCACCCCCATGCTCCAACCGCCTCCACAGGTCCCATCTACAAATACCATCACGTGAGGGCTGGGCTTCGACGTATGGATTTCGGGGGACACAAGCCAAGAGGATGGTTATAGGAGGCGTGGTCCTCGGATCCTGCTCGTCTCCTCCCAGGGGTGGGGGCCCCCCAGCACTCACTTGGGGTGACCCAGTGAGCGGGAGGCTGGTTTTGTGCACTTCAAGGCCATCGTTTAGAAGCTAGGAACAGTGTGGCCCCTGCCCTGGGAGCTTCTGCTCCCTCCAGGGGCAGAGGCGCAAACCACTGCGGAAGGCGAGGCGCTCCTGCTGGGTTGTCACAGCTCCTTCTGGTCGCCTCCATGGCCTGGGCCTGGCCTTACGCCCCCGCCCCCCCAACACGCCCTCATGGGGGCTGGGCTGTGCCTACACACGGGGCCTCTCAGTACCTGGCTTGTGGCCTGGAGCTCAGAGCCCCACAGGCAGCACCCCGGAAGCCTGGCAATGAGCACTTCTCTGGGCCTCGGGCACGGCGCCTCAGTGGCCTGTCACCCCAGCCTTGCCTGTGCGGCCTGCTGATGGCTGAGAGGGACAGCAGGCAGCTCCCTACTGAGCCCCTCACCGTGTGGCCCACCCAGGACAGCCCTGAGGCCGCGGGCTCTGCGGTCCCCACTGCCACCCCATCATGAAGCAGCACATTTGGAAATGAGTGAACAGCACGTACCCACCAGAGGGACACACCAGCTGGAGGACACGAGGGGTGGACACGACGCAGAGGCCCAGGGCATGGTGCTGGGCCTGCCAGGAAGGCCGAGCCCTTGCCCAGTGACCATGGAGGACCGGGGCTGCAGTGACACCTGCTGTGGGGGCCACCTGCCTGCTCTTGTTCACAGCACTCCAGCACACAAAGTCCTAGCATGCTGCCCTTGGCCTTGATCTTTTAGAAGAATGGACATCTGTGTTTGGCGGATCCCAGCATTGGCGGAGCCTGGGTGTGGGGTCAGCCCTCTTACAGGTTCAAACCTGGGAACTGTTAGCCGCCCCCCCCCGACACCGCCAGCTGTAAGGTCAGAGCGCTGCCCTCCCGGAGCTCGGCCCTGAGTCAGGCAATTCTGCTGAACACGGGCCCTGTAGGTTCGGCTCTGACCGGCCCCAACCTGCAGAGAAATGCCCACCGAGCCTGGCCTGACCGCAGAGCCTGTCAGCCCTTCCTTCATCTCATGCGACAGAGGACAAGGATGAGGGTGGATGGCGTGTGGGGTGCTAAACAGGGCCTTCAGGCTGGCAGTGACTCAGAGCCACTCACCACACCTGGGGCTGAGGTCACCGCGGGCTAGCTGGCGCTGAGGGGCAAAGACGCAGACACAGAGAGAGCGCGCGCTCGCTGAGTGACGAGTCAGGTCACCGACAGGTAAACATGCGACCACTCTACAGGACTTCCGTACAGAGTTCCCAGGGGCAGCTTTATGAGATCTTGACTCCAATGCTGGAGCACAGAGGACCGCCTCCCAGTAGGCAGCTGGGAGTCGCGTTCCTGCCGCTGGGACGCCAGCTTTGCTTGGGGGGCCGGCTGGGACGCGATCTCATGGGCCCCCTGCCAGGCGCCCCTGGCATGAGGCCACCCGCCCTGCTGAGGACCCCTTCTCGCCCTCCCGAGGTCCTGTTCACACAGACGCTGCCCCAGAGCACGCTGGCCCGTTGTCGGGGCTGCACCGGCCCGTCCATCACAGCTCGTTGTGGCGCGCTCTCGAGACCCGGCTGGACAGGTCCTGTAGGTGCTTCTTGACCTGCAGACAGCACAGTGCAGGCTGTTACTGGTCCTGCCCAGGGTCGGGCAGCACAGTCACCTCCAGAACTGTCACCAATAAATTGTTCAAACAGGTGACATTAGCTAGAAACAAACAGCTAGATGCAGAGCATGCTGAACAGGGGGCGCGGTTTCCACCACCCGCCCAGGTCACTTTCAGGCTTTCTTCCGGCCCGTCAGCACGTGGCAGGGCCTGCTCAAGCTTTCTACAGCTTTGCCTGATTCCCGTGGGACGCTGCCCGCTGGGGAGGTGCGTGCTCTCGGGCGCCCCTCTGGTCCACGGGCACCCCGCCCCCGTGCTCCCTTCCGCAGGCACCTAACCCACACAGCATCCTTCTCCAGTCAGGTGAAGCTCCCTGCACCGCCCACACCTGTCACAGGTGCATTCCTCTGCAAATCCCAGTTAGGATGCCAAGTTCAGAGCCCTCTTCCCAGGCCTCCCTACACCCCGCCAAACGCAGGCGCACGGCCTGCCTTCTGTTGGTTTTCAGGGGTAACAAAGGCCTGCAGTTTCAAAGGCACAGCCGTCCCTCCCCCAGCGCCCTCCAGAGGATGGCTGTCCTCATGCCCACCTGCTCCTGTCGTCCCACTGCCCGCTCTCCCTTTCCGGTAATCTAAACCAGAGGCTCTCTGGGTAAATGGCCCTTTATGTTGTAATGTCGGGACTGTGTCCAGGTTTCTGGCTGACCTAACCAGCACCCCGTGGAGGGCAGTTTGGCCCATATAGAGCAGAAGCAGCGGCTGGCCTAGGGCCACTCGGGCCACCAGCTGCTGCCTAGAGCTGGTCCCCGTTTCCTTAGGGACCAAAAGGCCAGCTGTGTGGCTAGAAGGGCTCTGGATCCAGTCCCGCCCGCCTGCCCCACACGCGTGCCCACAGCCCTCGCCAGGTCACCTGCTTGAGAGTGCCAGTGGCAGCACACAAGTCCCAGCCCTAAACCAGCCGGGGGGGGTGGGAGGAGCTAGGAAGCCCAGACCCGTTTGAGGGCTGGGCAGCCCCCTGGGAGCAGCAGGCTGCTCGTCTGGCTCTTCCTCCGAGTTCCCCGACGTGCAGACGACCACCTCCCCTCTGCAGAGGAGGAAACGAAGCTCAGAGGCCACGCCGGGCGCGCTCAGGGCTGCGGGAGGGATGTGCCTTCCGGCCGGCTGGCGCCGGTCCCTAGCGGCCCCTCGCCCGTTCCCTGCACAGGCCCCGGCGGCCGCACGCCCACCTTGTAGCCCAGCTCCTTGGTCTTCTCCTCCAGCACGGCGTAGCGCTCTTTGTTCCGGCTGACGTGCTCGTGGTCGCCAAATCGCTCCACGTGTTTCAGTTTTTGATGAGAGATTTCCAGCTGCTTCTGGTAGTGGTTATGCTTTTCAATTTTGACTTCAAAGTGCTTCAGCTCCTCCTAGAATCATGTTTAAGCAATTGAATTTCCTCCCAGCACGCTCTTAATGCCACCTGGGTGTCTGCTCAGACTTGACAAACCCTCCAGAACACCAAGAGAGGCCACACGCTGGTGCGGGGACTGGGTCCCACAGGGTGACAGGGCTCCACCGTCCCCACTGCCAGCCCATCATGATGCAGCACATTTGGAACTGGGTCAACAGCACGGGCCCACTAAAGGGACGCCCCGCTAGAAGCTGATGGCACTCGTGGCCCTCTGCCCCCTCCCTGACTCCTGACCCTGGGGACTCTGTGAACAGGGCCCGCCCGCCATCCGGCTCTCTCCGGCCCTGTTCCCACGTCTAGCCTGACACCTGGGGCTCAGGCTTTGAACAAGCCACCCCACAGTCCTCTGTCCCCATGGCCTTCCATCCCGCCTGGCACAGCCCCCGGCCGGGAAACCCTGCCCTCCACCTTCAGAAGGCTCCATGACCCGGCCCTGCCCACCCCGCCTGCCCACCCAACGTGCTCCCAGGTCAGGCATCCCACTGGCCAATCACACCACAGTCCTGGGCTGGCTGTCACCTCCTCTGGGCCTCCAGTATAGGGCTGCATGCCCTGCCCGGGGGCCACAAAAGCTCACAACACATGTCCCTCTGAACTGGTCTAAACTCCGCAGGGCAGACGCCCAGCACGAACCTTTGCTGAACCTGCACTGACCTCCCTGCTGCCATCTCCTGACATAACGTGTCCTGACGGCTAGTCCTCAGAGGCCTCCCTGCTCTCTGTCCCCACACACAGCTCAGAAAGACCTTAAACGCCACAGGCCCAGGCAGGCTCCCTCGCTGGGCTCCTGTCTGAGGAAGGCGCTTCCTGCCCGGGACCCTTCTGCCCTGCAGGCCCTCCACTCAGTCCAATCGCTCCCACAGGGTCCTCCTCATGGAGGCCAGCTTCACGGGATGGCCAGTGCAGAGTGGTCCAGCACAGCCGCCAGCCGGACGACAGGAGGAGGGCCCTGTGGACGGCTAACTGGCTCCCATTAAAGACCAAGAGGCAACAGGGTCCTTTCCACGTCGTTGGGCTTCCACGGCACAGATGCTGCCAAGTCGAGAGACTGCAGGGCCTCCCGCCCTCCTTACCCGGAATGACTCAAGCTCCTTCTCAGTGAAGTTGGCTGACCTGGCCAGGTCCCACAGGTCAATCACCCGGGGTTCCTCGAACTCTGCAGAGAGCAAGGCGGTCTCAGAGACGCACATGGCCTCCCGTGATGCCTGGGCCCACATGTCCCACCTGGCCACGAGTACACTGTGACTGAGCGTGCACAGTACATGGGTGCATGTGAGCACAAACATGCATGCAGTGTGTGTTCAGTGTCTTCTGGAAGCAAACTGGGCATTGCTTCCATGGGCATTAAGGACGCACTGAAACATGGCTGACTTTCGGACACCGCCCAGGGCGCCTGCAGCCGGGTCCCGGCATGAGGAGGGGACTTGGAGCACCAGTGAGAAGGCGCTGGCATAAACGAGCCACGTGTGGAGCTGTCTGTGACGGCAGCGTAGCCAGCTGTCAGGACTGATATGAGGCCAGGGGAAGAATGGCGAATGGGAAAGAGACGGTGTGACACTGAAAGTCAAGCTGCGTGTAACTTTCAAGAAAAGGGACAGAGAGGCAGCCCCACGTGCCTGCTCAGGGCGGGGCGGTGGACCCTGCCCGCCCACCTGCGGGCCCCGCGCTCACCGGCGTCCCCGTCGTAACCCTGGTGGCTGACTTTCCGCAGCCGGTCAAAACCCTGGCTGATGCCCCGCAGCCGGTCCTGCAGCTCCGCGTGCCTGGTCCCCAGCACCTCCGCCTGCACGTGGCTCACGTCCTCGGGGCTGATGGCGTTCTCCTGAATCTCTGTGGGAATCAGCAGAGTGCTGATGAGGAAGGACCTGTGCCCCGAGGGTGTGGGGGCACCAGGATCTGAGCCCGGCCCCTGCAAAGGTGCAAGAGCAAGAACCCACGCTCCCAGATGGCCCCACTGACCCCGCGGCAGACCCCAGTGTGCTGACTGCGGGTGGGGAGCCACGGATTTGGGGGGAGCTCCCCAGTATAAACAACGGTACCATCAGAGATCACACCAGTCAAAACCGCACATCTGTGGGGGGCGGCCCGTGGTGACGAAAGAGGTGACCTGAGTTACTAACGCAGTGTGTCATCTGACCAACAAACATGGCCTGGCACCTGTCAAAGGGACCCTGATGGGTTCCCAAATGGAGATCCCCCCCAGAGGGCTGCTGGGGACTTGAGACTACGGCATGAGCGCCCCTCCTCCGCAGCTTCGCTCGGAGCATTCTGGAGCCTGGGACGCCTACACCCAGGGAGGGCAAGCAGGCAAAGCACCTTCGGTCCTGCTCAGCGTCTCCAGCAGGACGTTATACTCGCGAACCTTCTCTTTGTGGTGCTGGAACTCCCGCCATAGTTTGTCCAGCTCGTCCCTGGAGAACTTCCCAGAGGTCTTTGCCTGAGGGGAAAACGACCGATGCACACCTGCCACGGGCCTGCTCACCTGTGCACACCCCGGGTGCCCCCACTCCACGGGACAATCACTGTGTCATCCCACCTGACCACCCCCCACCCCCCACATAAGCCGCAGGTCCCGGGCTTAGCCTGGAGGCCACAGAGCCCCCCGTACAATAGGCTGTCCTTCCCTTTTGCCCCCTGCCCCCCACTCCAGCTCCACCCTCGTGACCAAGGACCATGGGCTGGTGTGAGAATTCTAATTCTGGGCCCCACTCAATGTGGTACACAAAACATCCGACAGGAGCTGGGGACAAAGGGCACTGTGGCCTTTGTCCACCGCCTGGCCCTGCGGCCTGGCCATACAGGTGCCCATTTGAGGTTTGCACCCCCATCCCCCAGGGAAGGGCTGGGTTGGCCCAGCACCCCCAAGGTGAGGGCACCTCTCAGGACCACAGAAACTGCCCAGAGGATCAAGCCCAACTACAATAAACACACATGCAGCGCCGAGCCGCATCCCAGGGCACACCGCCAGTGTGCACACTTAGCCACATGTTCTCGGCATCGGAACTGCACCCGGCGGGCATGAGGGCTCCAAGCAGGAGACTGGGAGGAGCCCCAGGAAACAGGAATGGCCAGAGAGCACAGGGGTTCCACGGAGACCGCGCCATGCCAAGCAGTGCAGAGGAGCCCCCAGCAGTCCAACTCCTGACACAGGGGCACACGTTTCGGGTTCGCGGGAAGCGCTGCGGGTACCTTGTGCCACAGCTTCTCCAGCCTGGGGTCTCCCAGGCCGTCCTGCTCCACGCCGTCGCCGAGGGAGTTGCCGTTGACTGCTCGGGCATCCTTCCTCCCGTCCAGACCATACTTGGCCAGAATGACTAGGGGGGAAGCCCGGCGTCAGTGAAGGCGGGGCAGAGGGCAGGCACCCTGCGTTTGTGGTGACCACTCGGGATGAAGTGGAACAAGAACATGAACAAACCTGGGGACCCGTCTCCCACGCTTACCAACATGTCCAGTGGCTGGGGGGGCCCTCCCGGGGGGGCCCTCCCCCCCAAACACACACTGGCTGCTTCGGGGCTCCTACCACATGCAACTCCAGATGGGACAGAGGTCGTTAGCAGTGAGGCTGTTTTTATGCGACAGTTTCACAGATTTTCATAACCCAAATTTGCAGCCTGTTTCTGGCGAGTGTGGGAGAGATGAAAGTTTGGGGTGCAAGGGTGTGTCTTGGGGGGCTTTTCTACACCCAGTCATGTTTCTTTTTGGAGGAACAGACTTTCTAAAGAAATGCCAGTGTCAGCAACTTCCAACAAACAGTTAACAGCAGCCAACAGCAGAGATTGGACGCCAGCCTGCTACTGCCCAGTCACCGAGCTACTTCTCAGCGCCCACCCCCAGCCCTGGGTGCCAGGCAGGGCATGTGGCGGGTCCCTCAGTGCCCTGTCGTCACTGACACAACATGGGGCAGGCGCCCGGCAGAGCCCCAGGAAGCAGGTCTCCAGGTGGGGCTGGACTCCACTTCCGGAGTGCCATGGCTCTTCAGGACAAGCCCCGGATTCAGGGCCCATTCCGATGTCCCTGCCCACCCAGCACTGCCTCCCACTCATCCACCTCCTGAGTTAGAAGTGGGCTTGCCCAGTTCCCCCTGCTCTGAAGGGATGGAGGTCCTCCAGGTGGCAGAATCTGGTGCCACTGTCCCCTCCAGGCCTCTTCCAAGCCCCAGGCCCGCCTTCCTTAGAAACTGGGTGCAGGGCTTCCCTTCCCAGTACTGCACCCCGGAGTTCTCAGCATCCATGCCAGCGACCCACCTGGCCCAACTCCAGCCCCTCCTCTGGACATGCACTGGACACGGCCAGTTCCCGTGGGGGGCACCATGGCCCAGGCCCCCACGCCAGCTCCTTAGCCGTGTCCGCCCTCGGCTGTGCCAGCTGCTCGCAGCTCATCCAGGCTTTACTTCCTTGTCTGTCTATACTGCCTGCGCCTTACAGCTCACCCCACCTGCAAGCTTAGACCACTGGCGGTCTCGAGGATGAGCCGTGAAGTGTGTATTCCGGTGTTTGTCTGTGAGCTCGTGGGTTTCCTAGCTGTTAAACAACAGTCCGGGTCCTCTCCCTAAATAAACTGCAGAAGGCTCCTCTACTGAGCCACTGAGAGCCTGGCCAGGGGTGGGTCACATAGGCGCACACACCTACCAACTCATCAAACCGTGTCACTGAGATCTGTATGTCATCACGTGTAACTTATACCTGAAAAAACTAGAAAAAAGCTGCCCAGATGGCTCCCTGCCCAGCAAGCCACGGCCTGGACTGCCTCTGAGGCCTGCACGGCCCGTGACCTTGTCCTACCCACAACCTGAGCCAGAATAAGCAGCCGGGGCCATGGAGACTGGGTGACTGTCTCTCTCGTTAAAAAAAAAAGAAAAAGGAAGATACCATTGAGATTGCGTATAAGTTTTGCTTCTTTCTCTCCATCTTCATCCAAGCCTTCGGCCTTCAATTTCTTCCAGCTGAATTCGTCCCTTTCTTGGATCTTCAGATCAGCATGGAGTTCGGACAGCTCCACAGGAGGAAGCTGCAGCTGCAGGATGAGAACAGAGGACATCGGACAACCGGCCGCATGACGGACCAACGATGCAGCCGGGAGAGACGGACCCTGGAGAAAGGGCGACCAGGAGGCAGAGGAGATGAGCAGATGGAGTCGGGGTCCTGGACACTCCAAGTCCTGCACACACTCACACAGGAGAACTTCAAAGGTGTACCTTGGCCCTGCATGTGAAGACCACTGGCTCTCCTGAAACGTCTACAGCATGGAATGATCTAGAAATCCCAGGTCCTTAGAAAGCCACCCGCTGTCAGCAGCCTGAGGGCTAGGGCACAGCGGGGAAAGCCGGCTGCACAGGGCAGCTCCAGTGACGGGACGCCCACCTTCCCACCGGGACCCTGGGGACATCCATGGGGCACCTGGGTAAATGGAGAAGGAGAGGGCAGGGGACGCAAGCTGGCTGGGAGAAGAGGCCAGGACTTTGTCCTTGTATCACGTAACTACATAAAAATAAGCTGCGACTATTAGAAAACACGGAAGACTGAATTTATGGAAAACTTCCAATTAAAAAAAAAAAAAAAGCACCCCATGGCTCCCCGGGACACTGGCTGGGAAGCTGTGCTCTGCCACCTCTCCTGTGAGCTGGGAGCCGGCTGGCTTCTGACTGACGGGCCTCTAGTTTCTGACAGACCCTGCGCCCCTGTTGGGCCCAAGAGGCCTCCCGCCAAGTTGCGGGCCAGCACCACCTCTGCTAGCTGAAATGGCACCGGACGGTTCTCGTCACTAAACTAAACAGGCAGCTTAAAACTCAGCTCGCTCACATGCCTGACAGAGGCCCCACCCCCAGGATGACCCCAAGATGACAGGCACAGTGCCAGGACTGGGGGGGGGGGCTCCCCTTGGGCCGCACTTCTGCCCCCAAATAGTTTTGATTCTTGAGTTTTTAACACAAGTGTGAAACCTGACACTCATATCTCTGGTTCTGCTTACTTCTACCCTTAAAAAAAGTCATTACTGACTAGTTATGTGAAATACTTCAAGTTACACCACTGCAGCTACTGATAGAAATGGTGTTAACTGGAAAGATCAAAGCATTCTAAGTGTCAAAAAAAGACAAAACAAAAAAGAACAACCCACAAGAAAAAACCTGCCTTGGGACTCTTCAAGTTTAATGGTGGACTTCTACAGCCACACCGTGTGCCCACGCCAGGCAGCTGTCAGAATGCCATTTCCAGATACGCCCCAGCGCCTGGCTCTGACCAGCTCCGGGCTAGGCGCTGGGGCGTCCTTTCTTGAGTCGGGCTCCTCTTTGTAAAGTGGGTTTTCCAAGAGGCGTATGACCCCGAATGTGCCCAGAACAGTCAGACCAGGGTTCATGGAAACGGGTTCTGGGGCAGCGAGGTGGGGAAGGGTGCACGCCACACCACTTTGTGACATCAGCATAGTAAAAGCTCTGAGGAACCTATCAGCTTCGTCGAGCCCAGTTTTCCAAACCTACTTGATCTCAGACCAGTTATCTCCCCCAAGAACCTGCATTCTCGGGCAGGTCCTGAAGTGGAGGGTGGCTGAGGACGCTCCGACAGCCTGAGTCTGAGCCTGTCCTGGAGCTGGTCCCCAGCTGGACCGTGCTCCGTGGCTGGAGGCAGGACCACCTGCTCCAGGGCCCGTGGGAACACCTGGCAGCCGCTCTCTGGACTCTCTGAATAGCTCTTTAAATTACAGTTAAATGTTAATGCCTCACGTGGACAGTTAATCGGAACCCAATGCAAAGCAGAACTTGTCCAAGATTAAACAGTGGAGTAAACCAACAATTGTGAGACAAACGTACATGCAGGGGACAAAGCAGCTCAGCAGAAACAAGTGCTGTTCATGGTAGGGACGGTGGTGATGGTCCCACAGGTGTATCCTTGATTCCAGACTCATCCAAATGTGTACATTAAATATGTACAGCTTTTATAGTCAATCAAATCTCAATAAAGTGGTCCAAAAAAAAGAAGTGGGAACTGGTGTCCACCCAAGGCTCTGCCTCCAGCCGCAGCTCTGGTCTCTGGCTGAGCCACGGTGTGCAGACAACAGCTCAAGGCCAGGCGGCGAGCCCCGCGGGGACCCCCAGGCACTCTCACCTTCCAGCCTTCAGTCTTACTGGCAGTTCAGGGAAGGAACGCCAAGGACAGAACACGGCCCCACCCACCTCCTGGCATGCAGGCGAGGCGGCCACCTGGCCTGCCCTTCCAGAGTCTGCCCTGGAGCCGAGGGATGTGGTGCCCCGAGGGAAGGGAAATACACACAGGGACGGGGCTTTCAGACACATGTTCCCTCCCCCTCTGGCCTTCGAAGCCACCTGGGAGGACAAGTGCTTCCACACCCGGAAAGGGCAGGCACCCTGACAGGCTTGGAGCTCGCAGAGCCATGTCACTGAGTGCTCTGCAGTGGCACCCTGTGGGTCTGCTGGGGTTGTCACCCTGTGACACCAACCAGAAAAACCGCACCAGAACCCGGCTGCGGCCCACAGAGGAACCTCTTAAGAGGCTTTGCCCCAACAACCCCCCCCCCAAGCTCCAAGGACAGCACCCCCCGCCCCCGCACCCCCCTGCTCAGGAGTCTTGCAACACCCCGAATATGTCACAAGCCCCACAAGACTGGGCAGAAGTAACCCTGCTTCCTCCCGTCCTGCCTGCAGCTCTTCCAAGCACTTCTGCCGAAGAGGAACTGGACAGTTTCACGGAACGTGAATGCTGGGACGGGATGAAGCAACGCAAGTTGTTCTCTCGTCTCACAGGACAGGAAGTGAGTTTCAGTGTCTTCTCGGAGGACCCCGAACCCGCGACCGTGGCATCTGCGCACCAAGGCAGGAATCGCACCCCCAGTCACGGCCCGCGGACCCCCGAGGTAGGGGGCCCCGGCCGCCGCTCACCCGCTGGGCCTTCTCCCACAGCTGGTTCAGCTTCTCCATGCGGAACTCCCCCCCGGGCTCGTTCTTCTCCCGCGAATACTTGCCGCCGTGGCCCGCCGCCGGCCAGGGCCCGAGCAGCAGCAGCAGCAGCAGCAGCAGCACAGGCGGCGCCCGGAGTCCGCGCGGCCCGGCTCCGACCCTCCGTGGCGCCATCTTCCTCCCGTTGCCGAGACCCCGCGCCCGGGCCCCGAGTGGTCTCGTCAGGCCCCGCCCCGGACCGCCCCGCCCCGCCCCGCCGCCTCCTGGGAGTTGTAGTTTCTCCCGCGTTGCCGGCCCACGCCAGGCCGCCGGCTGACTACAAGGCCCAGGAAACCCTGCGGAGGCACGTGGGCGTTTCTCAGGCAACCACCCCGCGATCTCTTGACGCCCGGCGGGCGCCCCCGCCCCGGCGGCGGACTGCGCTAGGGCGGCCCTAACTGAGCTTGCGGGGTTGCCAGGCGTTTTGTTGAGAGAGGACTCGGCCGCCCAGATCCCGGGAGCCGAATGAACCGAGGCCCCTTTCTTTTCTACTCCGTAGAAAGTGTAAATCGGAAACCGGGACCGGGTCTAGCTGTTCCTGATTGATGTGGACTCTTCCTTGTCATTATGGTCTTGGGGAAGGTGGACCCTGCTCGGTACTCGGGCACAAATGTCACTGCTGTCAGGACCCTTAGAGAACCACCCAGCCGACTCCTTCACTTGAGAGAGGAAGAAAAGACAGAGGCCCAGGTGCATCCAGGTCTCCTGGGCCTGCTCACTGTCGCCGCCGACCCAGGGGGCGCCTGCACCCGAACACTGTCTGTGCACTACGTCCAACACTTGCCCCCCGTGTACTTTCCCTGTGGTAGAGACGCTTGTGTGTCTGTCTCCTTTCTTCCCACCTGCTACCTTTTAGTATCAGCAAAATTCCCCAGAGCCAGCGTGTTGGAGGCGGCCCCCGGGGAGCTGGGCAGTGCCCTGGAGGTAGAGGGGGAAACTAAGGGAAAAGGTGAGGTGCGGACTGCTGCCTTCAAGTAGCTTGAGATACAGAGTCGAGTAGAGGCACTAACTAGGTGCTTTGGGGCATCGAGAAGGGACAGGGTGAGCCCCTCTGCTGAGAATGACCTGACAGGCCTCCAAGGGTCGTCAGCTGTGCCAGGGGGTTGGGCATTCCAACTGGAGGGACATTGAGGACAAAGGAAGGGGGTGGAGAAGACCTGCGCATCTCGGGAGGAATCAATATTAGTGACTTTGAAAGTTATACCCTGTGTGGTCCCAGAAAGGGTTTAAGGTTCCTAGAATCAAGGAGCGAGTTGCTGTCCTCCCTGCCTGATGTCGAATATCTTGAGAACCAATGTTCCATGTGTTTGCCCAGCTGTCTAGTTGTTTCAAGCAAAAGGATAAGTTCAGTCCCTGTTACTTCATCCTGAACAGAGCACAAGTTCCCGGCTGCTTCGCTGTTAATGGTTAATGCACGTATCCTGTTTACTAGTTAGCTTAGGCTACCTGCGAGAACAAACTCCAAAATGTATAAAGGCCCCAAGAGGATAGAAGCTAATTCCTACACCTGTTCGAGTCTGACAGGCAGCTGCTCCTATGGTCTTCAGCACCGGCCTTCCAAGATTGCTTCCTGCTGGTGGGGGACAGAGCACGGAGCCTCCCACAGGGGCAGCAGTTGAAAAGCCAGGCCTATCACTGCTGCCCATGCTCAACTGCCTAGAAGCAATTACATGGCCAGACCTAACTGCAAGGGAAGCTGGGGAATGTGGTCCAGCTGTGTACCTAGGTGGACGAGATAACGAGCGTTGTGGACGACTGGCCAGTGTTTTCTCTTGGCCTGCCTGAGTGAAACACTCATCCAGGGTGATTATCATACTTCTTCCCTCCTGGGCTTTGGTGGAGGTCATGGACTGCAGAACTCACAGGCAGTGACCTTCCAGGTCCTGGAATCACGAAGCCAAAAGTTCACAGACCAAGAAAGCATCTACAGTAATTATCTGGCTGTACATCTTCGTATCACAGACTGACAAATGGAGGCCACAAAATGGGGTCTGACGTGCTCAGTCACAAAATTACTGAGGACCTCTTGTCTGGGTAACTTCAGGCTCTCCCTATTGGCCTCTTTGCTTCTTAACTTGTTTCCTAAGGAGTCCATTCTCAATACAGTAACCAAAATTAGCCTCTTAAAACACAAGTCAGATCAAGAAAATGGCAGACCAATATTCCTCATGAATACAGACACAAAAATCTTGAACAAAATATTAGCAAATCAGATCTAGCAATATGTAAATATATAAGTAAGTTTAGCTTCATATTTGAAAACGAATCAGTATAATTCTCTTCATTCATAGAATAAAGGAGAAAAAAACAACACATAATATTCTCAATAGGTGTAGTAGCAGCGTTTGACAAGTCCAACACCCATTTGTGATAAAAATCACTCAGCAAATGAGCAGTAGAAGGGGGTTTTCTCAATTGAATAAGAGGCATCTAAACAAAATATACACTTTGCATCATACTTCAAGGTGAAATGTTGTGCGCTTTCACCCTGACATCAAGAAGAATGCAAGGATGTTCACTGCTATCATTAGTATTCAACACACTGCTTACAAGTGCACTAGAAACAGCCCAAATTAAACACACCCACTCCGTCACATGTTGGAAAAAATACGAAGCAACTGAAACCCTCATACGTTGCTGGTATGAGTGGAAAATGGTCAACCACTTTGCAAAGCTGTTTGTCAGTTTCTTATACAATTAAACAAATGCCTATTTTATGATCCAATTCGATGGATTCAATTCTAGAAATCAGAACATTGGTTGCCTATGGTGGGGGAGGGGGGAAGGCTGGTGATCAAAGGCAGGAAGCACAAGAGAACTTTCTGGTGTGATCGAAATGTTCGATATCTTGTTCGAAATGTTGATTTAGAGGGGTGTGTACATTTGTGTAAAATCATTAAATTGTATGTTTGGGATCTGTGAACCTCACTACATGTAAAGTTAATTTTTTACTCTTTCTTTTTAACAAAAGATTTTTATTAAAAAATATAGCTAACATACAATATTACATCAGTTTCAGGGGTACACCATAGTTGTTCAACATTTATAGACCTAAAGAAGTGATCAAAGTAGGG